ACATTGTAAAGCTGTTGGTTGACTATGGTTTTAAACTAGAGTTGACTACAACTTGTGGAACACTGGTCATCCATGTATGCTGCCCCTAGTGTGCACTGTACTCTCTTCCACTCTTGCACTAACTTGGTTAATTAATGGAAAATGATGCAATTCAAATCAGTAAGCAGCACGCATTAAGGAACTAATAGCCCAAACTGAGTACACACCGCAGATTTTTTTCATCTTGGACTTTGTCACAGCAGGTCTGACATGTCAAGTGTCCTGAAGCAGCCTCACTGCTTTACCTGGAACCTTAGTAGCACCTCAACTGACAAGCATCCGATATTCATAATGAGCATTACGTTATTGCCACAATAGCTTAATAGAATCACTCTGCAGTGAGGATTGCAATGTTTTCTTTATTAAGAAAAGCATTAGGCAAGGAGCATATGCTGTTTTTGCAACCTATGAGTTCTGTACTCTTAACTTGGAAGACCAAACTGAAAGAAAGTCAGATATTGGTTTGCTGTTGTACAAATATAGCATAATGACAACCAAGAGGGAAATGCAATGAACTGCTCTGTAATTTGAACTAGTATAACAAAGGATATCCTGGCATTTAATGTCTATCTCTGGTCCTAACAACAACAGGCCACATGCTGTTTGGTTATGAATATTCTATGTGCTGGCTTTGCCAATGGCCTGAAAAAGTGTTCACATGGGAACAACAGGCGAAGAAACATAGCATTGATAAAGGAAGCACACCTAAGCTTCCTCTTGCCAGCAGTCCTCCAGTATCAAGTTTGCCATTGGTAGAGATATTGGGAAGTGGAAACCTCCAGGCGTTTCGAATAGTGGCTCATTCAGAAGGTGGTGATCTAAAAATAACTTAGGAATTCTTCTCCACAGTGACACAAGAATTTAAAAAAACTTGTGTCTTGAACGCTCATTCTCTATTCCTAAAGATAGCAAGTCAGCCTCTCATTTCTGTCAGGATATTGTTCAATTGGACATTTGTAAATGGGAGAAAAAAAAACAAACTGTGCACTCAGGGCACAAAACAAGCAATATTGCACAGCAACATAGTATGCAGTTTGAGAGTCAGTTAAAACCCTGCATTATTTACATTGAAATGTCAAACAGTTGTGTCACAGTTTCAAACTGCATTGTTAAAGCAGAGATGAAGTCTTAGAGTAATGACTTACTCCTACCTTTCAGATTATTGGCTTCCTTTGTTTCTTGTTACTGTGTAACATTCACTTACTGAACGCTCCCCCTTCCCGCCTAAGCCTCCGGAGTTGCCACTATACTGAATTGAGAACTTACAAGGGCATAAGTAACCATGGAAGATTAGGGCTTTCCCATCCACAGATATCATATCCAACCAATTCCCACCCACCCATCAGCTGTTCCCTCTGATAGGAAGGTGCAACTCTCAATCCTATCCCTGGATATTAAAAAAAGTGTTTGGCAGATAGATTCTGCCAATCGCTCGCTCTATCAAAACAGAGTCACTGCTATGGACTTCCTCAATTAACTAGGCTAACTTTGAGAAGTACTTTTTAGTAGGAAACCTGTGACACTGGGAAGGGTTGAATTTTCAAGACAATGCATTACTTTTCCTTGCAGTGGTCACTGGGTCAGGCATGGGCTCTCTAAAGCAACATATTTTCTCCTGAGAGTTTTGTTCTGCACAAATGCTGTTAGTCTTCCCTCTGAACTATTCCAAAGAAAATATTTCAGTTACTTCTGTCAAGAATCTCTTCCATATATCAGAAGACTCTACCCTTCCTTCCTCACCCTCACAAAGCAGCAAGGAAAACTGTAGGCAGAAATTGACAGATTGTCAGACATTGTCAGATTCTGGACAGGACCTGGGTGTCTTGCACACAGTCAACTAGAGGGAGTGATCTATTAAATTGCCCTCACACCAAATCTAGACATCGGCAACTTGTGCAGGTCAGTGTAGATGCCAGCAGTAGCTTCCAGTGCTGGGTTGAGCAACGGTGTACCAGAGATAAAGACTGATGTGACTTTGAATGAGACCATGTTTGGCAAGAGGATGCTCCTCCACACTGACAGTAGAGCAGAAAATTGTCACCCACTCTCAGTTCACAGAACCTGCAACTAATTCACATTCTCCTGGTACTTACGCATCAGAATGTGGGAAGTGGAGGATGGGGCAGGGAAATGAACGCTGTACTCCCTTCACTCGCAGCTGCAAAGCTAACACCACAGCCTACAAAGGAGGATGATCTCAATTACGGCACAACAGACAATATCATTGGACAACCAATGTATTTATTAGTTTTTCCTCAGCTCACATTTTATTATTAATCTAAACTTGCTTCATTCCACTGCAGCAATAACCACTTCTAATTTAAACAGGAACAGCATCACAATTTCACCTCACCGCCTGCCCATCCCTACCACTGCAGCGCTTTAAGAGCAGCACCGTGTACAGGGGGAAAACTGCAACTAGTTAATGTTCAACTCTGTGACAATGTCTGTGCTTTGGCAATACTGGCTGCATACAGCAACCAAGAGGGAAAGGAAAAGCTCAACAAACATTTAAAAAGCCACTTTCAGGGCTTTGTAAAATTGGCGACTGGGCCTGTGGGTGGAAGGACAGTATATAAAGGGAAAGAAAAAAAATTTAGAGAACATTTTGTTGATCTGGAGTGTATTATGTTGTTCAGCACCACCAAACTTGTGTCTTAACAGCCACAAAGTAAAAACAGTAACAGAAATAGTAATTTGTACCCATCTACCACTATTTAAAAACATTCATAACCGTTCTTTTTATAACATCGACAAGACAGAAGCCCAATCAGATCTGTCTGTAGTCATTTTGAAATGTTCAACTTATCACATGGCCATTTTACTCTAAACACCTTGTGTTCAAACCAATTCTAGTCATTATATGCTCTGTCCCTCAACAAAGAAAGCAGCTGCCTTATAAGGGATTGGCATTTATTAAGTGGATCTACAAGGACTTACTAGTTACCAATAAGATGAATGCTTCATTATGGTAGAGAAATCTAGACCTCTTTTCTTATAAAGGACTTATTAGCCTCTTCCTTCCCCCAACTCTTTCCTGCCAGTTCAGCTTCACACTCAATCCAGTTATTGCTGCTGGAGTTGGCTCTCTTACGTTTTTGCAAAACAACTCGTGTAGTCCACTGAAATCAGTAATGTTTTGTCTTTAAGAAAAAAAAAAAGCCATTTTCCTTTTGAGACAGACAAATGAAGCCCCTTAAGAGACGTAGATTTCTTCAGTTTTGAGAGGCTGCAGTCTCCGGCCACTGGTTACAGTTTCTCTTCCTGTGACTTAATGCTCTGGGGTTTGATGGGCCCTGTTCGCACTGGCTTGGGCTTGCTTGTGGATTTCTCGTCCTTGTGTGGCAGGGTGCTCTCTCCTTCCTGGTGCTCCTCAGCAGGATGTGAGCCAGTGTCACTGCTGTTGCCGCGTGGTGTCACCCGCTCAAAGAACCTTTGTGTGCTTTGCAGCACCTCTGCTCGCTGCTTTGCCTGGCAGGAAATTATGAAACAAAAACAAGAGCACAATTTATTGTGAAAGCACTCGGTCATCTATGCAGCTTCCTGACATATTTGCTCGATAATAGTTCATCTCTGAGCAATTTGAGTAATTTCCCACAATTACTTTTAAAAAGAGTGGAGACATGAAGCAATTGAGAGAAGAGTTGTATTGTCTTTCACTGGTGCACAGAGGTAGTGGGATGGGGAGGGTAAGACAAAGAACAACATAGTGCCTAGCTTAAAGGATGAGCTGCTAAATTAAGCGTCTGCAGGATTTTGATCTGTTAAGGGTGGCACAGGTAAGCCCCAAGCACACAACCTACATAAAAACCAGAAGAACTGCAGATGCTGTAAATCAGGAACAAAAACAGAAGTTGCTGGAAAAGCTCAGCAGGTCTGACAGCATCTGTGGGGAGAAAATCAGAGTTAACGTTTCGGGTCCGTTTCACGAGTTCTGAGGAAGGGTCACCGGACCAGAAATGGACCCGAAACATTAACTCTGATTTTCTCTTCACAGATGCTGCCAGAGCTGCTGAGCTTTTCCAACAACTTTTTTTTTGTTCTTGACATAAAATTTACATACAGTTGCTTTCCTGGTATTGTCACTATCTGTTGGGAAAGGAGACATCACTAGCAGGTAATGCATTCACGTAAGTATGCAGGAAATCAAGCCAGCACCTTTGCAAAAACCAGGTCACATTAAAAAATTGTCAGTTTCACAAAAATGTTACAAATAAAACCAAAAGAATACTGAAATTACCCACGCTTTAAAAAAAACACAATAAAGTTGATGTACAATGTTGGTGGTTTGTGCTACGCTACCTCTGCGCCCGAGTAAGAGAGCAGAGAACAAAGCAAACATTTCCCAGGCTTTGTTTTTAATTCATTTGGAGAACAACATTACAAAGCAAAACAAAACATGAAATAAAAATCTCTCCAATTCTGCATCACCAAAATAAACTAGATTCCAACTGTACAGGAAAGTGCAAGAAGGAATTTTACATGATTCCTGAGGGAGGTCCAAAGTTCAGAGATCCTAGGTTAGCATTAGTAGAGTACAAAACATCATAGTAAGGCTCTGGAGAGAACTGCAATCTACAACTGGAAGACAGCAGATACTTTATGCTCTAATGTAAATCAGGCTGAAATACAATATGGAGTTTGAGCATTTGCATCTTAGATGGGAACACGTACAAAAGAAGATCCTTACCTGCTGAGACACGTTCCCTCTGAAACATGGCAAGGAATTTACTCCACACTGGGCTGGTCCAGGAGATTTTCCTCTTGGACTTGTTGATCCAGGCCTAGAACAATACATAAAAATGCAAAGCTGATCCAAAGAGTTTTTAGCCACAGCACACGAATATAGCAAACCTCGTTTCCATGCTTTTACTGTACTCCAATAACCGAACAGCCCCACAAACGCAATAGTTCCCCTATAGTTCAGTTTTGATTTCACAGAAAGCACCAGGGAATGTTAATTTTTTGATTGATTTATCAGGTGGGTCCAAGGCCAGAGAACTCTAGATAACAAAAGGACATGGAGAGGACGACTAAGGACAAAAAAGCTAATGGCAAATACCAAGGACTCAATATGACAAAGTCCCTAGAAGAGTATAATAAAATGTAACAAGGAGAATTAAGAAGGAAACTAGGAAAGCAAAGAAAGTGCTTACCAAATTTTTAGAGAAGGACTTTTTAAAAAATATGAAGAGGACTAACTAGGGAAAGAGTAGGGTACATTAGGGACCAAAGAGGTAATTGGGGATCCAGGGTTAAGTATACTCAATGAACACTTTGTACTGGTCCTTAGAATAGAAAAGCACACCACAGGTATAGACATGAGGGCAGAGGACCAAAATAGGAGACATAAAAAAGGGATAGATTAGAAAATTAGATTTATCTAACCTCCACACTGGGAGAAGTTATAAAAGAATTCTGAGGGGGGAAGCAATGTTTGTACTTGGAGGGATACAGATTAATCAGGGGTAGTCAGGATGGCTGTGTTAAGGGAATATAAGAGTTTCACAAATCTGATCAAGTTTTCTGAGGAAGTAACTGGAAGCTTTGATGAGGGCAACATAGACTTCAGCAAGGTTTTTGATAAGGTCCCTCATGGCAGACTGGTCAAGAACAAACGAGCCCTTCAGATCCAAGGCAAAGTTTACATTCGTCCAGTTTGGATTCAGAGGCGGGTATCAGAGAGTCATACATACAGCAATATTTCTGTCTCTCTTTCCAGTATAGTTCTGTAGGATTCCGCATCATTTGTGGTGCATTAATAATTTAGACTTAAAATGTATGGGGTGGTGACACAAAATTGACACGGTGTTAAATATTTTTTTAAAAACTGCTGGAAAATATCACAATGGTCAACTGGACAGAGCTGTGGCAAATAGAATTCAACTCAGAAGGGTTAGAGGTAATGCACTTGGGGAGGGCTAACAAGGCAGTAGATTACATTATGAATGGTAGGACCCTGGAAAGTACTGAAAATCAGAGGGACCTTAACGTGCATTACCCGGAAGGTAGCAAGGCAGGTAACATTTATGCCACAAGTGCCAGGAAATGGCCATCTCCAGTAAGCTGGAATGTAACCATTACCCGTTGACATTCAATTGGACTCACCATGTAAATACAGTAGCTACAACAGCAGGCCAGAGGCCAGGAAAACTGCAGCAAATAATAACTCGCTGAAGCCTGTCGACAATTTACGAGGCAAGTCAAGGTCATAAATGAAATACTCCCACACTTGTCTGGATAAGTGCAGCTCCAAAAATGGTCAGAGTATGGAGTTTAAAAATTGGCAGGTAACATTGCAGCTTCGAGTCTTAGTTGGCCGTATTTGGAATATTGTGTTCAATTCTGGTCACCACACTACCAGAAGGATGTGGTGGCTTTGGAGAGGGTACAGAAAAGATACACCAGGATGTTGCATGTATGGAGGGCATTAAACTATGAGGAGAGGTTGGAGAAACTTGGGTTGTTCTCACTGGAACGACAGAAGTTGAGGGGCGACCTGATAGAGGTCTACAAGATTATGAAGGGCATGGACAGACAGGACAGTCAGAAGCTTTTTCCCAGGGTGGAAGAGTCAGTTATCAGGGGCCATGGGTTTAAGGTGCGAGGGACAAGGTTTAAAGGTGATGTACGAGGCAAGTTTTTTTTTTTAAAAAACACAGTGGGTGGTGGGTGCCTGGAACTCGCTGCCGGGGGAGGTAGTGGTAGTAGATACTATAGTGACTTTTAAAGGGCGTCTTGACAAATATATGAATAGGATGGGAATAGAGGGGTACGGTCCCAGGAAGGATAGGGGGTTTTAGTTGTGATGGGCAGAATGTCGGTGCAGGCTTGGAGGGCCAAAGGGCCTGTTCCTGTATAGTAATTTTCTTTGTTCTTTAATAACACTCAGGAAGTTTTACACCATCTTGGACAAAGCAGGCCACTTGATAGGCACTACATCCATAAACATCCACTCTCTCCACCACTGACGCTCAGTACAGTGTACACCACCTACAAGACAAACTACAGAAATTCATAGAAGGTCATCAGACAGCACCTTCCAAACGTACGACCACTTCCATCCAGAAGAATGGCATTAGATCTGAGAACACCACTACCTGAAAGGTCTCCCCAGGCAATTCACTCTCTTGACTTGGAAATAAAATGACATTCCTTCAGTGTCGCTGGGTCAAAATCTGGAAGGGCAATGTGGATCTACCTACAGCTCATAGACTGCAGTCCAAAGCAGCAGCTCACGACCACCTTCGAGGGAAATTGGGATGGGCAATAAGTGCTGGCCAGCCAGTGATGCCCATGTCTCAGAAGTGATCTAAAATGGCAGATAAGGTAGTTAAGCCACCTTACTGGATAATTTTTTTTATATTAGCCAAGGCATAGAATACAGAACAGGGTAGTTATGCTGGAACTATATAAAATGTTGATTAGGCCACAACTTGCGTAGTATGTGTAGTTTTGATCACTGCATTATGGGAAGGATGTGGTTGCAGCACAGAGGATATTGCCTGGGCTGGAAGGTCTGAGCTACAAGGAAAGATTGGATAGGCTGGGGTTATTTTCCCTCGAACAGGAAAAGCTTGAAAGGGGTCCCAAGAAAGGTTTGATGGGCATAGGTAGGTAGGCAGGCTAGGAAGGCATTTTTCTATTAGAAGGGTCATAGATTTAAGCTAAGAGGTAGAAGGGTAAGAGGAGAGTTGACAAATTGTTTTTTCCCTCCTAGTGTTAGGACTCTGGAACTCTCTGCCTGAAAGGGTGGTGGAGTCATAAACTCAACATTTAAGCAGTATTAAATATTCTCTCTGCATTGCCATTACCTCCAGGCTATGGGTAAAAGCTGGAATATGGGACACTGTAGTGAGATTTTTGTTGAGTGACATGGGCTGAATGACCCCTTTCTGTGGAGTAAACATCTATGGGAAGGGCAAAATCACTCCAGAAATGAGGCAGTTTTCTATGGAAGCCATACTTCACGTTAAAATTGTATGGGCAGTACCAACGAACTCTGAAAGAGCAACACAATTTTTTTTCAAACAGGTAAACTTCCTGACTTTTCTGCTGACAATACTTTCTCCAGGAGATGGTCCTAAGAGAAAGGCAACTTTTCTGTCCCTTGTGTCAGCCACTGATCCTTAAAAGAGCCTCAAGGTGTGCATACATTCAGCACTAGATTCTATGCGGTTTCACAGAAGAGACAGATTTTGTCTGGACCGAATACCTGGCTTTTGAATGGAAATGCAACTGCCTGTGACGTAAGCAACGCTGAGCAGCAGACTGAAAAGCACCAGCAGAGGTCACTCAACACTGAGCAAATATAAGCAGGTACCTCAGTGGTGATCGTTCTCTAGCGAGCCACCATCCCTCAAGAACTGAAAGCTCCTGCCTGTATAACGTAGCACTGATATATTCATCACAAACTGAACCAAGTATTAGCTTCTCTCTAATTATTTCAGCAACTTTACACAAAAAAAAAATTAGACTCGAAGGTATATTTAAATGAGAACTATTGGAAGTCCTTCATAAACACCAAAATCTAACTGAGGTCATTCCAAGCTCTCACCTGAATATTGCAGGTGATGGGACAGAATAGCCAAGTGCTCCTGGAGACGGATTCATTTTCCTATCCAAGTGAAATGTCTTCGGATCCATGGGGTTAACCTGAATTAAAAAGGAGAGCTCTGGTTAATATATTTTTGTATCTATGAAGCAGGACCAAAAACAACTTAAAATTTTAAGCACTTAAATTTAAAACAAATTAAGATGAGTTTTTTACCTCCCTTCCAAGAGTGGGTGCAGCAGCATGAAAACTTGAATGAACGACTCTTCGGGGGGGCCCTGGAGGGACGGTTTGTGCCTGTGAATGATGCAGAGACTGTGGAAGTTGGACCAAAGGCTGCTGCACAGACCCAAAGCCAGGGACAGATAACTGGGAGCCCAACATTGGGACCAACATCTGTCAAGAAACATATTCCAAAGTGAGCAGAGAAATGAAGGCTACAGCCTAAAAGAATACACTAAAAAATAAATAAGGACTGTGTCAAGATGTAGGGTCCCGCTTGAAGACTTTGAAAGTTTTGGTTAGGTAATCAGCTTCAGCTCTGCCTGACTTACTATTTTCTTTTCCAACTCTTAAACAGCAAAACCGAGCATATTCGCCTTGAAGTGGGTCATGTTTATACAAATCCATTCTAAAATCAGAGTCCATAATCTGGACTGTGTTGCAGTGAAATGGAGGATTGTGCACATTGTTGGGACAGCAGCCCCCCTCTGAAAGGGAATTTTAAACCATGTTCCACATGTGCCTTTTAGGTAGTCAGATCTAGGACCATCCTGGCCGTCAGCGGTGGCTATTGCTAACAGTGTTGTCTCCAAGTCAGAAAGTTCTGCGTTTTGGGTCTTGAGCTTAATAATCATGGCCAGTTCACTGATACAGTACCAAAAAAAAGAGTGCTGCTTTGCTGGAGGCTCCATCTTTCAAATCAGATGTCAAACCCAGGCTTTTGCCTGGGTGAAAAAGGCACCGTAGCACTACTTTAACACACAGTTGTACTGTTCCTTGTGACCTAGTCAATACGTAACCTTCATTCATCATATAAAACATGATGTCTGATCATGATCATATTGCTGTTCCCAGAATTTGTCAGTTCTGCACATATTGCCAGCCCAATTCTAACAAATGAACTAATTACACTTCAAAAGTACTTGGGGCACTCTGCAGTTGCAAAAGGTGCTATATGAATGCAAATCTTCCTTTCTTTCAATGTGACTCCCTCACCGAAACATGACATATGCTTTAAAATGGGGACATGATGCTAATGGTGCTAGTCCTCACATCTACACAATTCAGATGTCAAATCATTTAGGAATGCAGTAACCTTGAGGAATATAAAATTTCACAAGTTAAATGGTTTTGATTTTGCAAACAGTATCTGACCAAGCCATTCTCCCCCTCCCCCACCCAATGATTAATATCAATAAAACTCACTGTAGAAGATTACCTGGTGGAGGGGGCCACTGGACATTGGGGTGGCAGCAAAGTAGTTGCTCTGATTGGGCTGCTGCAGTGGAGAGGAATAGAAGTCCGATGGCTGGGCCATGCTTTGTCTCATCTGTCCAAAAAGTCAGCCGCATTAGCATTTAATGAGTTATTTGGGTCTATCATAGCAATTCCTATTACAAAAGTGTGTGTAGTCAGACAGATGCTTCCAAATACCCTTTCTAGGCGCACACTCTTCTGCGAAGGCGGAGCTGTTAGTGGTTAGGGCTGGACAGGTAGAGAGGAAGACAGGGGTTGCATTGGTGAAATTTAGGCTTCCCACTGGCTTATTGGGGAAATGCATGTCCTACTAGAGAGTGTTGTGACATATAATGTTAAGGAAAGATTCAGCTCCTCCTGCTCCACCATTGAACTGAAAGAGGACAGTAAAAATCCCAGTCTCTGGATTTTACCAATGAGCTCAGCGCCTCAAGCTGGACATAGTACAGAGGCTGAATGATCCTGTTCACTATCCAGAGTGCCCTGCTGTAAACCACCCACCTCACCCTCCCATCTCACACAAAGACACACTGAACAGTCAAAATATTTGATGCAGTTTAGGACTCAATTGTAGGGCGTAATTTAAAGTTAATTCATCAGGCAGGAAGCCTATAGGATGAGATGGTATGAGAGATCGTAGGAACTGCAGATGCTGGAGAATCTGAGATAACAAGGTGTAGAGCTGGATGAACACGGCAGGCCAAGCAGCAGAGGGGCAGGAAAGCTGACGTTTTAGGTCTAGACCCTTCTTCAGAAAATTTCTGAAGAAGGATTAGATGGTATGTTGATTTTATGCTGTGCACAATATTAAAACCTGATGACTATGATTAAGTGAATACAAACTGTTGGGGGGGGTGGCGGTGGCAAAAGAGCAGCACGAGAGGGCGAGGCACAAAGAGACAGATATGAAGGAAGCTGTCCTGAACTAAGTTTCACAGAATTCTCCACATTAGCATGCTTCCACCTCAACGAGGAAGGAGGCATTCCTGGATCTGGGAAATCAGATGGGTCAAGTGAATCAAGTATCAGTAGAGAAATACATGGGACAGTGGTCACAGTACTACAAGGTTCAAATTAGGCATGGAAAAAGGACAGGGATCTACATACAATAGCTACACTGAGGATGGCCCTTCTCCAATTAAATGAGTCAAGAACAGATGTGGTCCAGGTAAACTGGACTCAAAGGTCAGCAGGCAAATCTGTAACACAATCATGGGCCTGTACAGTCAAGGTATTTTTCCCACAAGGAAGAAGGCAATATCAGCAAAGCCAAAGTGTTATGGATGACAAAAAATGATAAAGAACAAGATCAAGTGAAATAAAGAGGGTCTACGACAGATACAGGGTTGACACAATTGAGATCAATCTGAATATACAAGGTACAACAGGGACGTGAGTAATAAGTGGCACCATAAATGAACACAAAGGATTTTTAATTATGTTAATATGACAGTTTTTAGATGATTCAGTTAAAGGGATCAGTGTTACCACAAGAATAGTTCTGCATAGGGGCTTGACCCTTTTCTCTCAAAGTGGTTACCAGTTGCAAATTTAGAGGGTGCTCAACCACCTTCCAATTACGCTCGACAGCAAGAGGGCTACTGTGTAATAATCGGAAATGAAAACACAAGATTTGCCATTTCGTATGACTATAGCTGAGTGAGTGAGTTTCAACTCCACCATTCTGCCTACTCCCTACATTCCCGGAGGCACTAAAATGTCTCTATCTCTGCCTTGCAATGCATTCAATAATGGAGCATCCACAACTCTTGAAAATAGAGAATTCCACAGATTCACAATCCTTTGAGCAAAGTAACTTCTCATCAGTCCTAAATGATCAGCTGTTTATCCCAAGTTTGCGTTCCTGCATTTTTAATCTTTCAACCCTATCAGGCCTTTTTTAAATCTTAAATCATCACCACATTTTCACCACTTACAATAGCAATCAAGATTACTCACCATGCCTCTCAAGATCATTTTTCTCAGCATAAGCAAGGGTGAAACTTAAGAGATTCTTGATCTTCTCAACTGCCAGACCAGGTGGCTAATTTTCAAAGTATTTTCTTCTTTTAAAAAGCTTTGGATTTAAAGATGTGTTCTTTGTTTGGAGAAAATGCTCATGGCTGATGGCCGAGATGGGAACTGCTGACCTGAATTCTCTTGCTAGGTCACTGGTTTAAGGCTGGTTGCAGGACCACGCATTACTTATCAAGTCTGGTGTTGATGGAAAAGCAGCTGCAGTCATCTGCGGAAACCTGAGCTGTTCCTGCTAGTTCTGTTGTACTTTTATAAAGTACAGGAGCAAAATCATCAGAAACCCCCAACCCCAAACTTAGTGTCTGTCATCTATTCTCACTTCAAAGAATATTTGAACATTGTTCCTTTCAGCTGTAGATCTGTGGTCAAGTTGTTTGTGATGCAGGAGGAGCTGGACTAGGTTGACCCAGACAAAAGGATTCACTGTGATGATACTCAGAAACAGTGCTCAAGTTAGAGTGTGGAGGGGGGAAAAACCCATGCAATTAGTCAGTAACCAAGAAGGAATCAGAAGAAAATGATCCAAGGACAAAACTGGACAGAGTTTGGAAACAAGAAAGGACTAAGCGGGATTGTGGAAAGGTCTAAATCCTTACTTTTAAGTACTCTAAGATACTCAGTGAGAATAAATATTACAGGCCACTTACCTGTATTATCTGAGAGTCAATGAGCTGTGAGTTGCCCAGCTGGGTGTTGTAGATGACAGACATTGGAGGAGTACAAGCTGTGTGCTGGTAGGGCAATCCTGGCTGAGCCTTGGCCACCTCTGCAGCCTGCACTGCTGAAAAGCCAACATACTGGCCTTTTACTGGGGCCCCAGATATCAGTGTAGACCCTTGTACCATGGCTGCAGAGGGAGGGGAGAGTCCAGGCTGGAGATACAACTGTTGGGACCTGTCAAATGGAACAGATATTCACTGGCATACAAACTGCAAATTGTGGAAATGAAGATACACCAACACATTAATTGATATCTTAAAACATGCTTAAAAACCAAAGAAACTAGCTATTTGGCCCATGCTCTAGGACGAGGCACACTGCCAGTCTAGCTGTTCCAGTATAGCTACAATACCAGCATTTATCTGACAATGTGGAAGATTACCCAGGCATGTCCTGTCCACCATAAAATGGGATAAATCCAATCTGATTAATTATCACCCCATCACCCTCATCTCAAATCAGTGAAGCGATGGAAAGTAGCAGCATTTACACAGCAATAACCTGTTCACTGATGCTCAGTTTGGATTCCACCACCATCACTCGGCTCTCGATCTCAACACAGCCTTGGTCTGAACCGAGTTGAAAAACTGCATTTCAGAGGTGACCAGAGAGTGACTGTCCTGTATGTTAATGCAGCAGGTGGCGCATTTTGCATTACGGAGTCCCTTGCAGAATTGAAGTCAATATCGAAGAGAAAACTCTTGACTGGTTCAAGTTATACACAAAAGGGTGGTGATTGTGGTTGGCCTCCATCTCAGCTCCAGGATATCAATGCAACGGTTCCAAGTAGTGGCAGCCTCGGTTCAACCATCTCTAGCGGCTTCGCCAATTACTTCTCTTCGTCATAAAAATCAGACGTTCTCATATCCGAAGAACAAAAAATCATGACAGGGTCTATGCTTCAAATGAGCCTTCTTCAGCGCACTCTAATAACATATCCTTCTACTCCATTATGCCTTGTATGCTTATCCAAGTACACCACAAACGTATCATTGAAATATTTCAAAGCGTTGTTTGCCTGTTCACAACTAGAAAACTGGGCTTATTTTCAGTTTATTAAAATTCTATTCTAAGCCACAACCAATATTTTAAAATCAGAAATGAAGCAATCCTTAAACTGATTGGCTTCATACTGGATGCAATGAAAACAGATCTAAAAAGATATGAACAGCTGACCTCAGGATAAAATTAAAACACATATGGAAATAAACTAACGTGAAGATTTACAACCAAGAGTTGAGTGCACTTGTACTTTTTTCTCTTCACTGCACGTATTAAAGTCAGCCACAAATTGAAACAGCAACTTTAAAAGGAGCAGACCCATTGAATTTAGTGGTCTGCTTTCTTATTTCCATCCACATGCCGCAATGGCTGGGAAAGCCTTACCTGAAAGACTGGAGGGAACTGAACATATCCTGTGTTTGGGAGACTGGCGTCCCTTGTCGGATGCTAAGGGTAGAAACCTGCGCCTGACCCTGAAGAGGAGTGTGAAGTGTTATCTGTTGGGTCGGCATTGCCTGCAAAACAGAACATTTTATAACAGTTCAGCTGCTTGAAAGGGACTTTTTTTAAGCAAAAAGAAAATAGTAAAAGAAGAAATAATCTTCGAGAAACTCTTCGAAAGTTATTTTAAGAAGCTGGGTGAATAATGTCCTACAGCCATACTGCTTACTATCATTAGTTAAATCCAATGCTATGCCAAGCTAGACCTTGGAAATTTCTAGATTAAATCAGTGACTTGCACAGAATTAGAAGATCTCAGCTGGAGCAGTAGAGCTATGACAATTGACCTTGGAAGTCCTGGTGCTTGAGAAGCAAATCAATGGAGATTCCTACTCCAATCTCCATCCAGTCTCCCTCCACTGGCAAATGCGCAAGTTAACACAGACAGTAATTAACTTGAGCCACATTGTTGTCCACAGTGAAACTCATTAGATCCATTGGCAGCTTGGGCACATCCAGATTAAAAAGGACATTCACAGATTCCTCAGCCTTGACACTGGCAAGCTTTTTTTTAAATGCATGAAGAGAGCTGCATTCTGGGAGTGGACCAATGGCAGTGGACCAAGCAGAAACTCAGTTGTTAGCAATTTACCCAAATGAGAACGTTCACATCACACTCCAACACCACACCCAGCAGCCCCTATTTTGAAGGGAGATTTGAAGTTCTCCCAGGTGCCTTGACTAATCTTTATAATTTAAGAAACAAACATAAAAACACAGATCATCACTGCAATTATCTCACTGCTGCTCTGGGGCCTTGGCCTTGAAAATTGCAAACTAGTTGCTACAGTTCCTTCCTTAGGCCAGTTCTATGCTTCCAAAGTACTTCAATTATGCTTTGGAACATTGCGAGGTCGTGAAAAACATTGGAATTTTAAGTCTATTGTTTCATTTCAAAACTATGCTGATCCAGAGTGAAACCTAAAAAAGAGAAAGAAATGTGCCCCAAGATAGCAAGACTCCAAGACTCCACACATCTGATAGGTTGCCAGCAACAACAGGACCACAGTGGTGACAGCTCATACCAAAATCTGCAGCATTGTAAGGGTTATGAAGATCTTACCCGTGGAAGTCCAGACTGGAATGCCTGATGCTGGGAGATAGAAGGAGGCATCCCACGAGGTTGGCTACCATAGCAATGGCTTTCCATGTAGCAAGGTGGAATCTGGCCACTTGGTGCTGTTGGGGGGAGGGAAGAGAAAGAGGTAAACAGTTCAACTCAACACACTACATCAGTGAAACCAGTGAAAACAAACAAGTATGCTGTAAATTACATTCACACTTCGTAGGGATCTGTGAAGAAATATGTGAAAGTCCAAAAGCAGTGATCATCACCTCAAGATTTGATCTGGATGATTTCAGATATACAGAGCCTTGAGAGTTGCAATTACACGTTTTGTTTGGGCAATGAAATTTGGATGATCGGTGTGGCAGAATGCTCCAAAATCAATTAAACAATAGGGATCCAACAATATTATTCCCATCTCTATTCCAAGAGGCTTTTTAAGAAAAGTAGCTGTGTTTTTTTGGATTGTTTTGCACCAGTAGATGGTGGTGCTGCTGCACAGCACATTCAAAAGGTAATAATTATTACTAGGGTATGTAGCAGCAATTCTGTTCTAAATTGGCTGTTTCTCAACATTAGGCTTTTGGCTAATGAATAGTTGGGGCCTTCAGACCTGGGGACCACAGTGCATTCCTGGGGCTAATTAGGTTAACAGCAGGGTGGGGGCTGGCTACCAATTTAGTGCAGTTAGGAATGTGGAAAAAAGTGCTGGCAAACTGCACGGACAGACATCAGGCAGGACAAGTTCAGGCAGAACTCGCTGTCCTTTGTGACTGAAAATATTGTTTGCTAGCTGCAACTCCCTTGCCTCTTGCCAATGCAGTATTTTGAGGGAAGCTTCATTATCTGAGGTGGTGGCTTTCACAAGGAACATGAAACCAGTTCATGAAAGTAAACATGATTCCAAATCGAAGATGAGCAGGGCAAGTCTCCCTAGTTTCCTGTCAATAATCAATAAAATGGGATTGTGTCATTATTGCTTCGCTTGTTATGTGGGAGTTGCTTGCTGTGTTTCCAGACACAATGACAGTGACTACACTACAATCAAGTATTATAGAAGGAAGGCTTGGACATTCTTGAATTGTCTAAGGTGCTACACAAATGCAAATCACTTCTTATAGCTTCACACATGAAGAATGGGCACATCTGAAAAAAATACAGATATAACACATTTTAAAAAGGAGGAGAAAAAGTGGGGAAGTGAGGAATGAAAAAGATTTTAAAAAGGGCAAAAACAGCAAAATGTTTAATGTGGAGAGCAGTAGACGATTACATGGTTGTAGTGACAAGTAGAAACGTTGATTGAATAATCAGAAATAGCAAGGGAACACAATACATTTGAATTGTCTTCAGTTGTCCCTGGACTACGAGAAGTGCAGGGGGAACATACAGATGGGGAGCAGGGAGTCTGCGCGCCAAGTGGTGTACGAGAAAGGCAGGTGTTACATCAAAGTACTAAGATACTGAACCTGAGAGTGGGGCAGATGGTGCCACGGAGGCCACAGGTATTGAGTTAACAAAAGAATGGTAGTCATCAGCCATCTCAGGCACATCTGCATTAGTCACACTTGCAGCAACATCTTTTTCTGTAACCCCTGGAGACTTTTCCCATGCTTTTCGAGCAGACTCCATCTGACGAGGAAGGATAAAAATAGATAAGAAAGCAGCCTCTTGTATATTAGCAATGTTAAAACAGTATTGCAAATGCCTTCCATCATGGACAGGTAAGCCATTCAGTTGCTCTAAACTTCAAGCACTGTAGGTGTACCCGCACTGGATGGAATACAATGGTTAAAGATGGCGGTTCACTACAAATTTCTCACTGACAAGGGACTGGTAACAGTGAAAGAGTACATCTTTAAAAATTAAAAATGTTTAAGTTACTTCTATCACTAGTATTTCTTCAAAATATACACATGAACCATGAAGAGGGGGACGTGGTGACCTAGTGCTTTTATTACTGGTCTGTTAATCCAGAGATCCAGGTAATGTTCTTGGGATCCTGGTTCGAATCCTGCCACAGCAGATGGTAGAATTTGAATTCAATAAAAAAATCTGGAATTAAGTATCAGTGACGACCATGAATCCATCCCTAATTGTCAGAAAAAACCCACCCGGCTCACATGTCCTTTAGGGAAGGAAACGACCATCCTTACCTGGTCTGGCTTACATTTGATTCCAGACCCACAAGTGTGGCTGATTAACTACCCTCTGAGCAATTAGGGATAGGCAATAAATGCTGTCCAGCCAGTGAGGCCCTCATCCATGAATGAATAAAAAAGACATTTTAAAGGCTCAACAGCAGATTTTATTATCCAAAGTTAGATTTGGGCTTGGAGATATAGACCAAATGTGCTGCTGGCAGGGGTAGTTTCCTTCACTAGCAGTAGCTGGTCAGGAAATGCTTTTTAGAAATATTACACTTAACTATCAGCAAGCTGCCTATCTATTCCTTCTAGGCGCAGGAGCAGCTTTTAGATAACAAGACAATGTAGACAAAACGGAAGGTGTTTAGAGCATGATAATAGCCACCTGTGAAAAAGGCCCAACAGCAAAAGGAAGATGCTCCCAAATGAGCAGTGACATCAAAATTAAGCTAAGGATTAGAGGAAGGGGACCAATCTAGAGCTATCATGCTATCAAACAAGTGTACAGTAAACAAAATAGAAAAAAAGAGGCTTAAATTGGGACCAAGAAAGAACTGCAAGTAACTTCCTTCCACCATTGTAAAGGTACTATCAACAATTGAGCCAACTGGAAAACTTGGGTCAACAGCAGCTCAAATACGCTACCTGAAGGCTGAACACAAGAGTGGTTGGTTCCTACCACAAGTAGGTTCCTGAGTGTCAATCAAATGCGGACAATAGTTTTAAACAGTGAAGTCCATGGTGCCGTTAACATACTCTAGTTCTGAAAGTGGATTGTGCTACCTGTGCTAGGTTACTCCAACTCCGAGCAACAGTTGGCAATTCAGCATGGGTTCAAACTTGGGCAAACTATCTAACAACAGTGACTTTATTCTCAAGAGTCTTAGTATCAAGATGCCTCTAAAAGAATTGGATTAATAACAACAGCTAGGAACCAATCCACCCATTCACGAGTAGACCCAGAAATTGTGAATAGTGAGAGGTAGGTTCATCACATTCCTCCGCACTTCTGTTCATAGGAAAATGATGGAATTTGTCATTAGAGGACTGGGATTGTTCTAACTCTTCCTTTTTGAAGAGGTTTAAAACTGAGAGGAATGGCTCTGGAGAAGCTGAGATACACTGATCTGTGATCTGCTCTGTTAAGGCACTTCGACAGATTTAACTCAAACTCAACCACTGGGGTGGCAGGATGGCTGGCAGATTCTCTTGCACCTTGGCTGTCAATGTGGTCTTCAGACGATAATCAGGGGACGTGTTCTGAAGGGCGAAAGCATATATACTCCATGTAAACAGCACAAAAAAAAGACCAAAGTTCCACTGAGTTCTTTCAGATAATTTCAATAGAAGCACTGATCTGAATCCTTCTTTGAAGGCAGAGCTGTTGACCAGTGACTTAGCCAACTGGAACTAATTGTCCTTTCATGCCAACAGTGAATGAGAAATCCTACCTTCAGAGACAATTCATTGCTGGGGAGAGATACAGGAGACATCCCATTGTCCTGTGGTGGGGTCTCAATGGTGGGGACTGGCACTGGGGCAGCTAAAGGCACCTGGGAAGGACAACACAAGAAACATCAATGCCCCACTTCTTTTAAAATAATGAGCTGACTGATATCCCATGCAGTCAAGCAGCCTGGCTATACAGACTGACAATCTAGGCTGATGCATGAACAGTGGCAACCTGATTGATGTCACAGAATGGATTTGCAGGCCAAAAGGAGGAAAGATCCTAAGCAGGGAAATAGATTTTCGTTGGGGTGATGATGGAGCGAGAGGGGAGTGAAGAATTGGGAAAAATTACCAAAAAGCAGTGTAGATGAAGTAGGAAACAGGCCTTCGACGAATGCAGATAAGAGGGTTATACTTTCATCATTACGAAATATGACTTGCACAGGTTTATGCAACAGAATTCGGAGATGTAGATTAAAACTACATCTGTTGAGTTTTTTTGCCTGCTATTTAATTTGACAGCGCAACATCTTTTAAGGATGAGGTTTTAAATACCTATGGAATAACTCTGATTAGGAATAACAATGTGCAATATGTCTGGATTTTGGAGCTAGTGACATTGCCTCTTCATTAAGTCTAACATAAAAGCAGCTTCCTTATGGATAAAGATATACTGGCCACTTCAGTCCGTGGTATCCCACGCTGTCTTCACAATACAGTACTGTCTAAAAGGGGATGGCTTTTTTTTGATGGGGGGCGGGGGGAAGAAGAGTAGGCTTTGGTGGAGGAAGAGAGGAGAGGAGCAGGCTTGCATGTGCACACAGAACATTACCAATTATATGTAATTACTCCAGACACTGCAATTAACCAGGATTTTTGGAAGCACATCTGTCTAAACCCCTGTGGAACAAGTATTTACAACAGAAGAGGTTATACCCTGCAAGTGTTTAACTTGGCAAGAAATCTGTCAGTCAGTTTGACATCTGGAAAAACAGACTTTGCTCATTGAACGATGCCATATCAATTTGCTGACAGCTGGAAAGCAGGACCCAAAAGGAGGACGTTCCATAAAGGGGAAGCGATAAACTCACGAGCAGATTACCCTTTCTGCTGTAGATTATTTTTACAACAGTTTATTTTGCTTGGATTCTAGATCAGCAAACCATGTGGCAGTTTCCCTTCAATTTATATTAAAATCGCTTCAGTTACTGGCAGCTGAACTGTAACTGCCCCCCCACACAATAACAACTAGAAGACAAAAAAACAAAGAAATAGGAGCTGGAATGGGCCATTTGACATTTTGAGCTTGCTCCACCATTCAGCAAAATCATGACTGATCCTCCTCAACTTCAACTTACTGCCTTATACCAATATCACACACTGCCCTTACTATCCAAAAGTCTATTGCCCTGTCTTGAACATAATTAGCAAATGAACACCTCCAATTTTCCGAGAACAGAATTTCAAATATCCACAAATCTAAGAAATTTCTGGTCATCTCAGTTCTAAAAAGCCTGATTACTTATTTGGAGATTCTGCCTCAATTGTTCCAGGTACTCAAGGCAGGGAAACAATTTCAGTATCTGCCCTATAAAGCCCTGTATTTTTAATTTGATCACTTTTATTCTTTTAAGTTTCAGCGAGTATAGACAACCTACGTGATCTCCCCTCCTCACAGGGAAGGGCTGGTGCAACGAAGCTTTGCTCTATCTAGGACAAGTAGGTCTTTCCTGAAAGCAAAGGTCCAAAGCTGCATACAATCATGCACTTGTGGCCTCAAAGGCCTGGACAATTGCAAGAAGATTTTTTGTTCTAATTCCTTTGTAACAAAGGTTACTATACTATTCGCCTTTCCATTGCTTGCTGTACCTGCGCACCTGCTTTCAATGTAGGAGGAGGATACTTGGGTCCCTCCAAAGGGGAGCATTTCAGAAAAGATTTAAAAGGGACCTGAGGGGCAACTTTTCGACAGAGGGTGGATCATACGTGGACTGAACTGCCAGAGAAAGTGTTGGATGCGGGTACAGTTACAACATTTGGATAGGTACACGAAAAGGAAAAGGTTTAGAGGGATATGGGCCAAATGTAGGCAAATGGGACTAGTTTAGTTTGGGAAACCTGATCCGTATGGACGAGTTGGATGGAAGGAACTGTTTCCTTGCTGTACAACTCTGCTTTTTAAAATTCTTTCTACCAGAACAGAAAACTTCACACTTCATTGTAATATGCAGGTTAAGGCCCAAGCTTAGCAACCAAGGTACCACCACTGCCATGTCTTTTGTCCTGCCTGTTTCACTCTGTGGTGCTGCATGGCACAAGTGTCAACTCTATACCTGTACTCCTATTGATATATAAACATCCAGTCTGCCCAAAAATGTAAAAACTAAATCAAAACTATAAATAGGGTGTCTAAAAATATGGAAAGGTCCAGTTAGTCAGATGGCGCATACAATATATTTATGAAGGTCCAGAATTCTTGGTCAACAATGGCTGTTATGACAGGGTTACTGTAATTAGCTTGTGGTCTTGAAATGGGATGCAGTGGCAAAAGCAAAAGTGCAAGGTTCCTGTTGTAAAGTACATTTCTGTGGGTGACAAATCAGAATAGGATAGGTGTACAAAGCTGAGGTAAGGTAGATCCAGTTCCCCTCAGTAGAGGGATCAATAACCAGGGGAAGTTCTAAGGTAAGGACTAAGAGGTTGAGGGGATTTGAGGAAAAGATTTTTCACCCAGAAGTTTGTTAGTATCTGGAACCTACTGCTTAAAAAAGGGTGGTAGAGGTGAGAACCTTCAACACATTTAAGAACTATTTTGGTGACCACTTGAAATACCATAACATACAAAGCAACAGGCCCAGTGGTGGAAAATGGGATGACAACAGATGGATGCTTGATGACCAGCCCAGTCAAGATAGGCCAGAGGGCCTCCTTTCATAATGTAAAAATTTTATGACCATGACTGAGTTCCAAACGCCACAAAAGAACATGCCATGAAGAGATAGGGTGAGCATTTCACGCAGTACCAGAACGCATTTGGTGCTTAAGTAAACACATTCTCAAATGACAGCCAGGAGAAGCAATATTTAAATTTCCAATGATTGTTACATCAGCTAGGCTTAGACAACTTATTTCTTACAAACTCTTGAATGCTAATAATAGGGTTTGAGGACATAGTAGCTGTTAAGAATCTTTGATTACAAATGAGTTTCTACACACACGGAAATGTTATACAAGGTATAGTGGATAGTTAGAAGCTTTAAAACAATCCAGTGTTCCCTCCAATTTTTTTCCCAATCCATTTGCAGAATGAATTTTGTTCTGTGCAAAGAAATGCGATGTATACCACCAGTTTTAAAAAAACAGCACAGGAGAAATAAAAGAATATTACATTGGCCAGTAATATGGTAACATAAATACATTTTAAGTGAGAGACAGTGGTAGTTAAACTTATGATCTCTAGGTTTTAAGTTCAATGCCATTACTGCAGCACTACTTTAAACAAGAAAGGCATTTGTTAGCTTCTGTATTGTAGTTTATGTTTTAATCATTTGACAGAAGAAAATTTGAATAGTTAGCAATGACTCAAACCAAGTGAAAGATCTTTTGTTCCAATGCACCAAGCTCAAAATAGGAAGTGCCAAGGAAATTTGCCTTTTGAATTGACAGAAAATGTGGGAAAGGCAAGTTTTACTTTCCAGCTTAATGTTATCTTTACTTAAAACTGCTATGAACAGTGAAGAAAATAGCTTAGTTGTTTCTTCATACCAAAAACATAAATGAGGCAAATATCTCTGCAAACTTGGGAAAGAGGTTGGCTCTTGTGAACTGGAATGCGAAGGTCAGAACGAGACGATGTCCCTTAAAATTACTTGAATATTGAAGGGTGAAAATGCAGCTGGGAATAGGGGCAGAGTGTTCCGGAGATCTATACATATAGATCAGATCAGTTTAGGTACTGATAAGAGATAATGGGAGCAGTATGTAGGCTCCTGAAGAGTAACCACTGTAGGATAAGGCTTACGGGAAGAAACAAGTGAACTGGAGAGAAAGGTAGGGCACAAATCAGAAGTGATTTAAATCTACATAAACTACTCAGCTTGGCAATGGTATCCTCAATGATGAGTTCTTGGACTGTTTTTTGGCATTGTTTCATAGAACAGCACATCCCAGAACAAACCAGACACCAGATGTGTAACTAAATTAAGTAATGACCTCGTAAAGCAGCCAGCACAGTAACAACAGTGATTGTAACATGATTAATTCCAGATTTAGTTTGATGGAGCAAGGAGGGGGATGTAAGACCAGTGTTTTAAACATATATAGGGGTAATTATGAGCACACCAAAATAGGGATGGATGGCCAAGTTGAATTTGGAAATTGGGCAAAGGGATAGGTCAGTAGAGGCACAGTGGCAAACATTTAGGGCAGATATAATGAAATTCGTATATATTAATACCCCTTTTTTGAATTTGGACTTCAAGTTAGACACAGTGGAGGTGCTACCTACCTCTGTGAAGGGTTTTGTTTTAAAATAAAAGTCAGTGTCCATCCAGAACAGTGCTTAAAAATTTCACATTTTGTCAGAGTGGGGTACTGACGGCCTTTGTGGTATTAATGGAAAAAATGTTTATTCGGTTCCGTTTATGATAGGCAAATTAACATGCCAGGCTTTGTTTTCAGTTAAGAATTTAGAATGAGCATATTTTCTTAACTCAATTCATAAGACACCAGTATCTCATTTAGAAGCAAGTTTAGTTTCCTTCTGAGAAGGATACAGCTCAAGTTCAGTGAACAAGTCACCTGAACAGAAGGGTTAAATTTGAGAATTTTTCAAGACAGGGAAAGTTTTGTTCCAATCCTTCAGGTTATTAGAACTGAGAAAGCTTAGGTTTGCATTGGTAGATTTAGAAAGGACTCATCTTCACAATCCATGGCAAAGAATCTGGCAGACGTCAGTTAAGCAGAACCCCAAAGAGCTGACATAAGACGTGTTATTCCTCCGGACTTGGGTCACTATAATGGAGAACGTGGGGAAGCAGGCTGAAACTTTTTTCACTGCGTCGAGATCATTCTAACTGTCTTCTATAGATAGATTGCTTGTTTTATTTCATTGTGTAAAAAA